CTTACCATAAAGGTCACCTTTGGCGTCATAGTTTGCCTGAAACTCCTCGACGTTATTTAACAAGATGGTTGTCAAGAAACGATAAATCAGAATTCCAAGAGAATGGCACCATGGCTAGATGATCAGCAACCCGATACATAGCTTTGCTCCTGGATCCGTAAAATTTGGTCAGTTTGTAAATAGAACCCGCAACCAGATCATATGTTCCAACCCGTCCTACTGGAACAAAACCTTGGATAACAGTCCCCTACAATTCATTCCAAATAAGAGATTAGTAAAAATATCATACCAATCGAGAAATACTAAAGAAAGAGGAAAAAAATAAGAAAATAGTCCTACACGTACCTCTTCGTCAATAAGGAGCATCTCCTTTCCAATAAGGGTTTTCTTTTTTCGGATTTCTAGCCTCTCAGAAGTGAATCAGACGAAACCTCAAAGTGGCTTCATGTGGGCCGAGAGAAACATCTCTCAAGAACATCACTTGGTCGGCAATCGCGGTGGGGAGAGCGGTAGCAGCTTTTGGTGTCATCGGAGTTGGAGACGAAACAGCAGCCTTGCCGTGAGGCTTGAAGACAATCGCGGAGGAAGCAGAAGACTTCCCGTCTCGTTGAGAATTCGTGGAGGATGCGACAATATTCTTCTTGGTCTTGTCGCCGGTGGGGAATGAAGATTTGATACAGGGTTCCATCGGGATGAATGTGAGAGACAGTAAAGAATCTTATCAGTTTAATCAAGACATAAGCTAAGAGGAGAGATCTATAAATACAAAAATGTCGAGGAAGGTTAAAGGAGGAATCCATTGAATGAGAAGAAGCCAACAATTGAGTACAATGAATCGAAGGATTGATTAGAACAGAGAGTGGCATAATTAATCGCCAAAACGGAAGAAAAGTAAATGAAGCTCATGAAGTCGAAAGGTGAGAGAAGCACATCTACTTTCTAGATTTCTCCGCAAATTTAACCAATTATCAGATTAGAAATAACTAATTATCAGATTAGAAATTCGAACCGAAAACCAAACTGGGTTTCGAATGAGTTAACCGAAGCCGACGTGGATGATTGGAGTCCTATTATTGATCTAATATAAATGTCGACGTGGACATGGTAAGAAGGCTTTATTAGCGCCTTTTAATAGTGTTAAATGAGTGAAATAATCTTAAACAATAAACACAATATATGCCAGTATATAATTCATATATGAAATAATGATCTTAAACTTACCAGATGAATTGTCCCCACCATATAATTATACACTAATAAAAGATTTAACTTCTATATAACTCTTATATTTTTTTCAATAATCATAACTTTTCTGTTGAATACTATATAACAAATTATAAGTCCTTGAATGAAAACATATGCTTAGTTTAAGATTTAAATATGTAAATATTTACACATGATCTGGGTTTTCCCTAGTAACAACAATACTAAGCTAAAGAAAAAGAAAACAATGTTGGTATGGACTACCATGATTGAGCTTCTAGTACTTTATTAAGCCTCAAGAATATTAACTCTTTAAATCTTAGAGGTATATTTCACTTAGTTTTTTTTTCTTTAATTTTGGGGGTATTCTAGATCCATGGACATGTCTACACTAACCCCTACAAAACTGGTGCAGTTCACGGATGGATCCTCACTCCGGATCTTCAAATGGGCCATGAAATAAATCTATATCCACGTGGCCAAAGATGATATGTAGTAATCTATATACCTTCAAACTTGACTTACTTACCAATCCTAAAACTTGCCTACCATTAAACATCACCTTGTTGAACTCACATTGTTTGGTAGCAATCTCGAAAAACTGTGGAGTAGAATATGGATACATGTTGAGTTTTTTTTGTTACCACCAAAATTTAAGTTATGTTGATGATGTCATCAAATATTTATAACGATTAATTATTCACGTTTGAAACTTGGTAAAACCAACATGCATTGGAGCATTGAACGGACGAACAAACAAATTGATTCAGTTTTTAACTTTTTCTTTGTATCAAGATTGTATATGAAGATATCATTTTCATCATATGGATTTACTAAATAAGAACCATTGAAGTAGATCAAGTTTCTCTTGATTCCTTCAATGTCCTTGGCAAGCACTGTGATACCCAACTCCAAAAGAATGGCTTCGTCTCCCAATGTTACAACTTCCTCCCACTTGCTCCCTTTGGATAAACCCATCTTGTATATTTTAAAGTTCCATATGTAGGACATACTCTCACATACGCTATTAACAATTAAAACATCTTCATCTACAGTGACTACCATATTATTCTTATAATAAGCCAAATAGCGCTTGCATGAAATAGTCCCAGGTTGTCTCCTGGCTCCAGCTACTGTTATGTTCACACATCCATCCATGCTTAGTTCGAAACTTGCGAGGGAACATGTCTCGGAAAATAAAAAAAATCGTGAGGTTATAATGATGAAGACAATATATCTTGCGATCCTTGTATACCATGTTAACTCGTAGATACATGGAAATTCCAACTGGGTGATTGGTTTCCACATGGTATCTCCTATCTTGATAGAATCCGCATTTTCTTCATTAAACATCCCTATAACAAGGTAATTTTTTGTTTCCTCGTCTATCCGCAACACCGGAGATATGAGCCCATAGTCTGATCCTCTCACGTGTTAAAAGATCTAAGATACAGGGATTATGTAAATAAACCTCCTAATCATAATTTATCATCAAAAGGCAGCTTCTATAAATTGCCACACAATAACTCTTTCCAAAGTCGTTGCCAAGATCTTGAGTTTTGTAAAACTTGTCTTGTTCTTCAGGATTAGCTTAGATTGTCTCGAAGCGGATGGCCACGGTAGACAAATGGTTGAAGACCAATCACATGAGATCTAGAGGAAGCTCGGACCAGCAGTGGAGAATTATTTTTTGTCCTGATCGAGACAAGACAACGTTAGAGGCCATCAGGCGAAATCTGGAAGAAAATAGGCTTTTTGTTTTCTTTTCTTAGAAAAAGTTTATAAAGAACTAACTCTCACCTCTTAGAGAGAGACATTAGAGACGTAGACAAGTCTCATATATTTGGTAATTTAGGTAAGGGTTATCGGTTACCCATTAAATAAAACTATTGTCTTTACACTATCAGTTTTCTAAAAAAAAAATTTAAGTAGAGTTATTTTCCATACTTTTATCTCAAGAAAAACCCTAGCCGTCAAGAGAGAAAAAAGAGAGAGATTTTTTAGTTTCAAGCCAATGGCCGGAGGGTTCTATAGCTCCGACATCGGCTTGTTTAATTTTTCTTATTTCTATTTCTTTGATTTGTTATGGTCTTCTAGTTTGTTTGATTGCCAATTTACTTTGAATCTGGCAAAATTTTGGATTGTTCTTCTGTATGGTTTTTCCAATGGATTTGGAATGAAAAAAACTTCGATTCAATTGAATCGTTTAGAAAAGGTAATTGACAGATCTACTGCGGATGGTGGCGACGGGTCTTACCGGCTTCAATCGTTGATGGTTCTTCACTTGATGGTGATGGTTTTTTTGCTGCAAACTATGGTTACTTCGAAAGACAGTATGAAATTCTATGGAACGGTAATCTCTTTGGCTCTGTTATTATCAATAGAACAATATAAAGAGTTGTCTTCTCTCGTTGGCTCCTACTGGAGTAATAAAAAGAGAGTAACAATCGTTCTCAACTAAGTCTGAAGCATGGTGTTTCTGGATTAATATGAAGATTATCTCCTACGAGATTCAACTATTTCAGAAGCAAATATGAAGCTTTCACATGGAAATTTTTAGTCATCCATACACTAATAGATGTGTTAGTTTACTTTGGATCCCTACTGGTGTATCCCTTTTCTATATTGTTTTTGCCAATTCTCATTGTGTAAAACTATTTGCCTAAATGGCTTAATAATACAATCCAGCGTTAAAAAAAAAACTTAGAAAAATTTATTAGTATTCATCAAAGTAGGTACATTTAAAAAATATTAATTGTAGGTTCATATATATGTATCTTATCCAATATTATTATTTTTATAGTCACATAAGATTGTTCACATATCATAGAGGTGGAGATAAGGCAAACTTGGTTAAAACACAAAGTAAGAAAAAAAAATAGAAAGCTTGAAGACCAAGAAAATATTACGAATCTATCTTATTAAAGTTGTAGTACTCTTTAGGTTTGTTTGGAAACTTAAATAGTAGTAATAAAGAGTTTAATGTTGTTTGGCTATAAGTTTAAAGGAGTTGGGCTTTTAAACATTGTTATAATAGAATTGGGCTTTTGTTTAATTTATTTTATGTTATGGTTGGTTTTAATCGTTTGGCCATTATAGTAATTTGTGTTTTTAGTTTATATTTTATATAAAGACCATATTCAATTTTATTTATTGTTGACTAAATTAAAAATAACATCAGGTTTTAAGATAATAACAATTTACATTTCAAATAATTTAATACTTAAATATATTTTATCTAAAGTATTTTACATTATTCAAATTATCATAAAGACACAAAATATTTGAATAGTTTTAACTAAAATATTAAAATTTTGTTTTCGTAACTGGATATTTATCTGAAACACCTATTCCCCCCCCCCCCCCAAAATCAGTTTTACCCCGATTAATCTAAAATTAATCTTAGAAATCGTAACCAAACCGTTATCATATTGGAACCAAAAATTTATCTGATATTAGTCGGTTATTATAATTATTACCAAACTCAGCTCAAACCAAAAGAATCGAACCGGACGCAAATCAATTTATATAGATAACAGAACAGATCTTATATCTATAGAATTAAAAAACTACAAACATAAAGAATCCAACAAAAGTTGAACCCAAAATCAAACCCCAGTCCTATTACATTCAATACGATCATAGTTTTTGAAATACGGTAATAACTGATGACTTATGAATATATTATGATTTTCCAAATTAAGTTAAACCCGCGCCGGTGCGCGGGTCAAGATCTAGTTATTATTAAAGCTTAAGTTCAAAAGAAAAAGGAAGAGAAGCCCCATTGTAGATAGGGATCAATCATTCTTAAAATTTGGTAGGAACCAACGAGCTCCAGATAACAACACAGAGGAAACAACTTGTGGTAGTTGTTCAACCTTCTTTGTATCGAGATTGAATACAAAGATGTCAGCGAAGTACTGACTCGTGTCCTGAGCATTGAAGTAAATGGAGTTACTAGTGACGCCTTCCTGGTCCTTAGCAAGCACTGTAATACCCAAATCTAAAATAATCGCCTCATCTCCCAAAGAAAAAATTTCCTCCCACTTAATCTTCTCATTTGATGAATCCATCTTGAAGATTCTAAAGTTCCACGAATAGGACCCATTTGGACTTTTGCTCCTTACAATTAAGACATCTCCTCTTAAAGTGACTACCACATTATTCCTCCTGCGAAGTTGATTGAATGCCCATGGTTCAGGCCATCTCATCCGGCTTACTTTTTCTAGTTTTACGCATCCCCTTACGCTAACTCTGGAAACTTGCAGAGGAAACTCACCAGAAAAGTCGAAAATACGGAGTTCATCTTCGGTAAGACCATAGAGCTTGTGATCTTTGAATACCATGCCATTTTGGTTATCTGACAACTGTACAGAGATTTCTTTTTTCCACGAGTTATCTCCTTTCTTGAAATAAGTAAGATCGTTTCTTATAATAAGGTAATCTTTGCTTCTCTCATCTATCCACAATATGGGAGAGTCAGATCCATACGATAAAGATTTAGGTAGATCGATCCTCTCGAGGGTTAAAAGATTAAAAATATAAAGATGGACTTCATGAAAAGTCTCCATCAAAAGCCAGCTTCTACAAGTCGCTAAACAAAAACTATCTGCCCAGTGTTTGTCAAGATGTTGAGTTTTGTAGAGCTTTTCTTCTTTATCTTCAGGATTGAACAAGAGACAGTAATTTTTTTCTTCGGGGAATAGAATCATCCAAGGGATCTTATTGTTTGGCTTAGATTGTCTCGAACCAGATAGCCAAGATGAGCAAACTGATTTAGCTCGTTCGAAATCGACAAAGCTAAGGTGCTCAAAGATCAGTTGCATTAGATCTAGAGGAAGCTTGGACCAGCAATCTAAGGATAAGGGTGGTGAAGCCATTTCACGAAATCGTAACGAGAAAGCCTTCAATTTTGGGAGAAAATATTAAAATTTTAGTTTTCACCCTCTCAAAAAGATTTTTATAATGAATGTATAAAAATATAATAACACCATATCTTTAAATAGCCCACAGCATCATTTTTAAAGAAACAGAAAATGTTGTATTTGGCAATGATCATTTATTTGTTTATCTAATGACTACAAATTTGAAAACCTTAATTTGATGCATGTCCATAATACATGTATATAGTAAAAAGATAATAATTTATACACAGAAAATCTTATTTGTTCTTTTTAAGAAAAGAGAATCATAGATACATATAACATTAGAATTATGCATATCGCAAGTTCATAATTTTAAATAAGAATATAAAAATAACAAAATTTTATCATATTCTAAATAAGTATATAATATCCGAAACTAATGAATTATAGATTAGTTGTAAACTTGCATGTTTCATTAGGATCCTATACAACTCATCTTTCCTCTTTTTTGGACAACACAACTCATTTTTCTAAATAATATCTTATATATTAAAACAGAAGTCATGACTTGACTTCATGTGTGATTTTTTTAAAAATGGACTATTACTAGAAAGTCATGTTACATTAAATATCTAATAATATTATCATTATTATATATTAAGAAAAATCATATCTATAATAACCAAAATACATTTAACAATTTGGTTTTGGTAAATTACCCCCACACCTTTCAACTTAATCACGCAAAATATGTCAATAGATATAAGTTTAGGAATCTTCTATTATTTATAAGGAAATATGTCAATAGTAGTTAAATGCATCCACAATATATTAACAAAAATCACAGATTCGTAATATGAAATATTTATATACCCCAACAAAATTTGCACGCTATATATACTAGATAAATTTATTTCGATGTAAATTTTTATAATTATATTGTTTTAAAAAAGAAATTGTTTAAAAAATTTCTTTTTAATAATTTTTTTTATAATATTAATTTATGAAGCTATAAGTTTAGTTTTTAGCAAAAAAAATTTCGAAGTTTATATTATCTTTGCAAATTAAAGTATACTAATATTTAATCAAACTCTATTTATATTATTTTATCTAAAAATGAAATACTAATCTAACAAACAATAAAATATAGAAGAAGAAACAAATACATGTTTTTCAAACATGTATAATATAGAAAATTTGAAACAATCTATTTGATTAAAACACGTATTATATAATATTATTATGTTTGAAAACATTTACTATACATATAGTAAATATGTGAATACTATAATATATACCAATTTACAAGTGAAAAAAAAAGTTTATATAACTAACTATAAACAAAAACAAACACCCGCGCGGTTGCGCGGGTCAAAATCTAGTAAATCATTAAAAAAGAGAATAGATCCTTGTCCCTTTTAGATGTTAGATAATCTACACCATGATGATAATCTATATTAATCATATGATGAATTAATTATTACTTTCTGTTTGTAAATAAATAAAAATTACTATATTATATGCATCAAAATTAAATTTTACTAGGTGTTTTCTTTATCTTGTACATGATTAATTTTTAATTTAAATTATGTTTTCAAAAATGAAATTCTGATAATATTTTATATTTTTTTATTTTTATTCTTATATAAATATTTCAATATAAAATTTGGTTTACCTAAATATAAAATTTTGGATTTTGATGAGCCCATAGCATGATTCAAAACTCAGTAGATTGATCCTCTCACGTGGTAAGAGATCTAAGATATAGGGATTATGTAGATAGACCTCCTCATCATAATCTATCATCAAAACGCAGCTTCTATAAGTCGCCACACAATAACTCTTTTCAAAGTCGTTGCCAAGATCTTGAGTTTTGTAAAACTTGTTTTGTTCTTAAAGATTGAACAAGAGACCATAGTTCTTATCCTTGGGGATTAGAAACATCCAAGAGATTTGATTGTTTGACTTAGATTTTCTCAGAGTGGATCGTAACTGATCGTAACAAAATGCATGTTTTCATGTCTAACATGTGGGAACCGAAATTCACAATGTCGATTTCCGTAAAATAAGAAAACTTAGAAAAATCCTAATTTTTCAGAGGACCCGGATCTCTGCGAGAGCCAACGACAAGTAACCAAATAAATGTGGAAAATATGAAAAACATGATAAAATGAATTTATAAAGAAAATAGATCTTATTTCGAATTCGCGTAAAAGCATTGCGATCATTAGAAACCGAACTTGTCGAGAATAAAGCCTAAGTTTCTAAGTGCAGAGAGTTTTAAGTCTAAAAGAGTTGTAAAATTTCTTCCCCTCTTGACTTCGACCTTATGCTCATATACTCCTTCTCTAGGCGGTTGGTCTTTCTTTTTCCGGCCCGATTTGTGTTTATCGGAAATCTTCCATTTATCTCGATCTTTCCATTTTTCTTCGGAAAACTTCTATTTTGTCTTCAATCTTGACATTTATCTATTCCTGCGAATAATGAGTAAACAATCATTGTATCTTTGGGCTGGATCTTGTCTAAAGCCGTGACTGGGCTTTTATCGCGTTTTAGGACTTTCCGAGCCGTTTTCCGATTTTAGCCGTTTACGACTTTAGACGAGATCGTTCCGTGATACGATCCTGTTTTTATAAAACATCTTGAGTTAATCGTATAGTTTGGCAATATCCGGTGTTTCGATTAACCGTTTCCGTTTTATACGATTCACTCGAAGTTTTACGAGAAAACAAGTCTTTAGCGGGTTTTTAGGAAATATCTTGATTTAATCGTATAGCTTGGCAATATCTAATGCTTTACTCGATGTGGGAACCAAAATTCACACCGTCGATTTCTGTAAAATAAGGAAACTTAGGAAAATCCTAATTTTCCAGAGGACCCGGATCTCTGCGAAAGCCAACGTCAAGTAACCAAATAAATGCGGAAAATATGAAAAACATGATAAAACGAATTTATAGAGAAAGTATATCTTTTTTCGATTTCGCGTAAGAGCGTTGCGATCATTACAAGAATTTACAAAGGCTTCGGCCGCAGGGGCCGTCAGCAGATTATTAACATAAAACCGTAAACCTAGTCGAGTCGCAGCTCGATGACAAAGGACGAAAAAGATAAGAAAAAGAGAGTTTGATTGATTTCAGACTGAACCTTATGAAAGGCGGCCTACGTACCCCTTTCGAGGATCAAGTCGAACGTAGTTCAATTGGTAGATCTGGACAAGAGATCGAACTGCCTGGGCGAGTTCGATCTAGCAATTGAGCGCCAGTCATAGAAACCGAACTTGTCGAGAATAAAGCCTAGGTTTATAAGTGCGGAAAGTTCTAAGTCTAAAAAGGTTGTAAAAGTCTCAGATGAGAGATCTGAAAATCGTCCCTTACTTCTGTCCTCTGCCTTTTGCTTATATACTCCCTTCCTAGGCGGTTTAGTCCTTCCTTTTTGCCCAGATTCGAGTTTATCGGGAATCTTCCATTTATCTCGATCTTTCCTTTTTATGTGCAGAAATCTTCTATTTATCTTCAAAATTGACATTTATCTTCAAACTTGACATTTATCTTCTTTCTGCGAGTAAATATTAAAACCTTCATTGTATCTTGGGCTTGATTTCGTTTAAAGTCGTAAGTGGACTTTTATCGCGCTTTTGGGCTGTCCGAGCCGTTTTGCGATAAAAACCGTTTTAAGATTTTAGACGAGACCGTTTGCTGACACGATGCCGTTTTTATAAGATTTCTAGAGTTGATCATATAGTTGGAAAATGCACGATGTTCCGTCCAATCGTTGCCGTTTTATACGATCTTCCCAAACTTTACGAGAAATGAAGACTTTAACGATTTTTATCGTAAAACTTGAACGATAAGACGGATCGAGACGAAACAAGAGACGTTTAAACCATGATTCAGAGAATGATCGAGCCGAAGTATGTATGCCTTGATTCGAGGACGTGGGAGATCGAGGTTGGGATGATCAGCTCGACGTACGACGAGCTGTTCGGGAAACGGCCAGATCGTCGTACGCTGAGTTGGTCCGTGGGCCGCCAGCTCGCCGTACGGTGAGCTGGTTTGGCCGAACCAACTCACCGTACGGCGAGCTGGTCCGAGACTAGTTTTGAGCATCTAGCGTGAGGTTCTTGCGTGTGGTTAGCCAGTTTTAATTGAGTTAGGCGGAATTAATGGTTGGAAAGGTCCGTTGAAAGTGATCTTTCCACTTTCCAGGGAGCAAAAAGTATTTAGGATTAGTGCTACGCCTTGTGAAGGCTGCCTAAGTACCCTATTGAAGGGATCAAGCCTTTTGTAGTTAAGGTTCGTATGACCTGTTTCCTAGCAAGACCTTTACGGTCTGGTTATGTGTATTGGATGACCTGTTTCCCAACGGCGAACTAAGGGGCGCTGACTTTGCCCCACAGGTTCTTATCGCCTAGTTCGCCATACGGCGACCTGGCCAAGCTGAACTAGCTCACCGTACGTCGAGCCGACCATCCCGATCCTCGATCTCCCACATCCTTGATTCAAGGCATACGTCCTTCGACACGATCGCATTCCGAATCACGGTCGAAATGTCTCTCGTTTCGTCTCGATCAGTCCTATCATTCGAGTTTTACGATAAAAACCGTAAAACTTTGTTTTCTCGAAAAGAACTCGAGGAAATCGTATAAAATGGCAACGGTTAAACGAAACACCGAACATTGCCTAAACTATACGATTTATTCGATATTTTTCGTTAAAATCATAAAAAATGTCGAGAAAATCGTAAAAAACGGCAACGGATAACCAAGAAATGAACGTAGCTAAACTTTACGATTAACTCGGGGAATTTACTAAAAACAGCTTCGGATCAGGAAACGATCTCGTATAAAGTCGTAAACCGGATTTATCGCAAAACGGCTCGGAAAGTCATAAAACGCGATAAAAGACACTCGCCACTTTAAACGAAGTCCAACCCGAAGATACAACGACGTTTTGGCCATTTACTCGCAGAAAGAAAAATAAATGTCAAACTTGAAGATAAATGTCAAGTTCGAGGAT